CCAGCAACATAGCCATTACGCTAACTGCTGGTTCCCGAAATATGTCCTGGACTTGATGGCTTAAACTCATGCCAGTTTTCATCTCTCAGACTGGCAAAACTTCGAAAGCCTGACAACGTCCTCCCTTAGTGAGCTTGTAAGCAGGCAACTACTCTCCTTCATTGCCAGTGGGACAAGACTTGTGGAGAAGAATATATATACTACTTTTTTTTGGTAAGAAAGGAAGGAAAACAATAGAACATACACATATGTATATGCTCTTTTTTTTTATTATTTTGCCAGAAGGTGCTTGCTCCACTGGAGGGAAGACAGAGAGAAAGTGAGAAAGCATCCCCTATGGGGAATGGTCACACTGCAATCCTTCCTCCTCCAGCATTTCTCCATCCTTTAAGGTTTTGGGCGTGTGTGCCTGGCATGTTTCTCAAGCTGCTGGGTCTGGGACTCAAACTTTGTAGTCAGCCATGTGGGGTTCAATTGCCTTCACCACCGTGCCAGGTTTAGCCCCCATGTGCTCATTTTTACACAAAGAATACCAGAGGGATGAATTGGGAATCTAATAAAAATTGTGAATTTTCTCTGTTTTATTATTTATTTATTTAGCTAGAGGGCACATGCTCCTGTGAGAGAGGGGGGCAGGGAAGTGAGAAAGCGCCCTTCATGGAGCATGATCACGCTGAAATCCCTTCTCCTTCATTTCTCCTTGGGAGAGTTTAGGCAAGCATGCACACGTGCTTGGTGCGTTTTCAAGCCACCAGTTCCTGTACTCTAATTGCATGGCTGGCCATGTGGGATGCAGCCGCCTGAACCACCATACCACTGGATGGCCCCTGTCAAGCTTTTCACGGACTTGAAAGTTGTAAAACAAAGTATACAGAAAAGGGAAAACAAAAGTCTACTGTACAAATTCTGCTGACTATATGCAGAATCTTTGACTGGGTGCTGTTGCTGTGCAAATCCTTCTTCATGGATTCTGGCACAACTCACATATGTGCATGGGCCAACTGTGGGTAGCAGGCAGTTCCTCCCCATTCAGGGCTTCTGTCCAGATGTTTCAATTGTATTCCCAGGAGCTGCACTAGGGAGGTTCTGGCTTTCAACCAAGAAACCCTTTCCTCCTCCACATCTGCCAGGTGGTGGCAGTAAGTCAGCCTGAGAGATCTCTAACTGTACCTAGATCTAGTCTGACTCTCCTGCGCTGGCTGAGACTCTCAGGGTCTTATATACTATTACAAGTGCCATAGGGTAGGAAATCACAAGGCAGCCACATCCCAGGCGATCGTTTAAGGCTAAAAGACAAAATAATTGTTATGTGATGCAATCAGCAATACGAGGTACGAACACAAGAGATTAAACTATTTAAGCTGTGTGCATCAATTTATTCCTAGTACCAAGCACATGGCCTAGTGCACAGGTGCTTTGTAAGGATGTACACACACACACACACACACACACACACACAATAACAAACATACAACATTTGCTATGTAGTAGGAATTGGTCTAAGGACTTTATAGTACTAACCCATTTAATCCACTCAACAATCCTATGGGGTAAGGATGATTTTATTGTGAAGCATAGAGATGTTGGGAAGTTTGCACAAGGTCATAAGGAGCGTGGGTGATCAAGACAGGATTCCACCCAGATATTCTGGCTCCAGACTCTACATGCTTAACCACCACACTAACTTGCCTTTTACTAAATAAGTGGGAGAATGAATGAACATAGAATTAGGTCGTTTTGTCAGTAAGTACCATACAATGGTTATGAGTTCTGGGCACCTAGAGTAACATTCTTACAAGCCTCCTTTTATTATATCACTGTTCGAAAGTCTTCAGTGGCTTCCCATTGCCTACGGACAAACAAGGCTTGCACTCCTCTCCTTGTGATTCGGTTTGCAGAATCTGGGCCAGAACTCCTCCTCCAAATTTATTTCCAGACCTCCCAATAACAGCACCAGGCAAGTAAATCCTGTCCATTCCTTCTTCTGCACCTTTGTGTATGTCGGTCTCATCTAGACACCCTCTGACAGAGTTGCCACTCACATACCTATGACATTTTGCAGAGATTTCCTGATCCTCTCTAGATTCCAATGTGCTCAGGGAGCTGGTCAGTCTTTCCTCTGAGCTCTTATACTTGTATAGTTTTCTAATTTGGGTGAATAACTAACAGTTGCTTGGTGTTTTCAGCCCACTATGCATGTGTGTGTGATGTATGTCGAGTTCAGTGAAGGCAGAGGTAGAGTCTCATACACCCTTAACCTTCCCCTTTAGTTCTTTGAATATAGTAGATATGTTGCAAATTAAACCCCTGCAGTTTCAGCTCCTTAAGATCCCTGGATGGAGTGCATTTATGCAGTGTTTGGGAGGCAGGGGGAGAGAAGACATGATGTCCATTATGCATTCTCTACACATGGTTCAATGTCCTCTGTTCCATATTTTCTACTTGAGGGGACACCATAGTGTTGTGGTTAATAACAGGGACCCGGCCTCCTAGCCTCTTATTAGTTGTGACTTTGGGTAAGGCACTTAACCCTTCGGTTTCTGTTTCCTCCTACTATTGCTTTATTTAGCAATAATAGTATCCGCCTTGTGGTATATTTCCTGATGAATAAATGAGTTAATATTTATAAGGTTCTTTGAGTAGTGCTGGACATCAGTTGTTCAGTAGATTGTCTCCACCTGCACTGCTCCTTTTAGATTACAAACATTTTAGGGCAGGGATCTGTAGCAAGTGAGTTCCCTCAAAATATGAATAGCTTTGTCCCAGCGGTGATACAGTAACTGCCCTGGATGCTCCGGAAACCCTTTCCACTTGCCCAGGCAGTGCACTTGCCTCATGCCAGCAGCTGTACATGATCTGGTAGATGGTGTCCGATGCCAGCTGGGGCCGGTAGAGCCTGTGGCCCTGGGAGACCTTCACAACCACCTGCGAGTTGTCATACAGGTCATAGGGCTGCTTCCCCAGGCTGAACACTTCCCACATCAGGATCCCTGCAGTGCACAAAGAGGTGACGGCAGACAAGAAGAAAGAGAGCCATGTCAGAAGGTACAGGGCTTGTGGAATAAGCTTCACACACCAAGTCAAAAGGTTACAGTCAGAGCACGGGATCCCTGGGAAATGAGTCCTAGCCAAAGGGGCAGGGCATGAAGAGTGGGTCCATGCCAGCTTTCCAAAGCTCGGGGTCTCTTCCCTACCTTCCCCAGGGACCACACTCCTGTGCTTGCTGGTGAACAGTAAATGGCAGGGAGAAGAGCTGCTTGGGGCCAAGATTCTTGGCCTGTCCCAAGGAGTCATCTGGGGCCTCATTCAGCCTCACAGTGGCCACTAGGGGGCCCGTGAGTCCCAGCCTCAACCTGTATAAATGATTGACAGAAGTCCCCGCCCTTTCTTTCTCTCTGCTTTGACAGCTGTGTGCAACGATTTCATTGCACAATCAGATTACTTTTCAGTGGAAATTTAGAAATAAAACAATTGACTACAGTCTTCCTTCTGTCACCACAGTGGCTCACAATCTTTATGAGTCAGAGGCCTTTTGGGGAATCTGATAAATACCTCTGGCTCTCCCCTCGGGAAAGTGAAGACATAGAGCCTTTGCCTTTGGTTTCAGGATGTTCATAGACCCCCTAAACCCACCCAGGGTATTGTGGACTCCAGTGTAAGAAACTGAGTTCTGGGCATGATGTTCAAAAGGGAGGCATATTAGGGTCAGTCAGACACGACCTTTGAGGTGGAGCGAGTTCCGCCATGCGCAGGCCAGCTGAGTTTCTTAACTGCTCTCAGCCTCAGGCTGTCTATGAAATGGAGGTATCTGCACTTCATGGACTTGCCATGAGTATTAATTAACTGAGTATCTGAAAGAGCACCAGTATATTATAAGTGCTAAGTTGTGGACTTTGTGCTGTTCTGGCCAGGTTCAAAACCTTGGAAAACCAGAAATATATAAGAAGGGAGAAAAGAGTTCTAGAACCATAACTGAGGTATTCATTGCAAACTTTCTTTGACTTTAATGCTACAGATACAATATTTAAAATATTTATAATAAAGCGATCATACAAGTTGCTGTTCTTTTTTTTAAAAAAAAGCTCACACACACACACACACGCACACACATATTATAAAACAACCATCCAAGAGTGTAGTAGCTCTCTCACAAATTTCTCTTTGGTAAACTACACACTTATTTCAAGGATAATATCACTGCCGAAAATATCTGTTGGGCTCCTCTTTGAGAATTGCTTTCAGAGGCCCTGATTCATTTTGATTATCCTCAATGGGAACAAATTGTTTAAGAATAGAGTTAGTGTTTGTAAACAGCCAGAAAATATCTGGAGCTAAGTTCTGTTGCATAAAGTGCATAAGCAAGCTGAGCAATGCTGTTTCCTGGTTCAAAACAAACTGTACCTACTGAATAAAGCCACTAATTTTTAAAATAGCACTCATTAGGCACATCAGTTGATGCATAGATACTGAAACTGATTTTGATGGCAAAGTACAAAAGTTAATCAACACAAAGTGATTATCAAGTATTCACTAAAATGCTCATGGTGATTTTTCCTTTTTCTGTGTTCATTTGATTTTTTTTTTTTTGCCAGAAGGCACATGTGTTCCCCAGAGATAGAGAGAGAGAGAGAGAAAGAGAGGGAACAAACATGCCCCAATGGAACATGTTCACTCTGGAATCCCTCCTCTTCCATTTCTCTGTCCTGTTGGAATCTTGCACATGCACACACATGCACCCGGTGTCTTTTTTTTCAAGGTGCCATGGCTGGAATTTGAACTGTGGCTGGCCATGTGAGATCTGACTTCCTTAATCACTAGACCACAGGGCTGGCCCAACATTTGCTGAATATTATTATTATTTTTTTTTACAATAAATGATGCCAGTTTTACAAAGAGAATAGTTATTTAAAAAAATTGTCTCATAGGTAATAGGTATGGCAATAGCTATGATTGAGCCAATAGTCAGTGTATTGTGGGTGGAAAGTTCATTTTGTATCCTGTAATGATATACAGTCAATGAATGTAAAATTAATGAATGAATGGATAAATAAATAAATAAATGTGTCACATAGAAAAATAAAAGGCTAACAATTGTCCTTTTTTTCTAGGCAGTCTTGCAGGTATCAAGCAGGAAATCGAATTATACTTGTAGACTAGACAGGCATGAAATAAGTCTTAGCCATGCTTACTATATTTTATAACTTTCTGGTAACTTGATTTATTTATCCTGGGTCCATCTGCTAGTGATTGAAGATAGTCCTGACATTCTTGTTGCATGGAAAACTATTAGAAAATCTACAAAGTCACAATTTAAGAATTGTTTCTCTTTTCTAATTACCTTTACTAAACTTTAGTGAAGATTTTTTTCCCCAATTAAATACATCAGCAAGCTTTTCTGGTAAAGGTCCACATAGAAAGATTTTGGCTTTGTGAGCCATGCCGTATCTGCTGTACCCATGCTATTCAGCTATTGTAGCACAAAATCAGCCATAGGCAATACATAAATGAATGGGTATGGCTGTGTGCCAGTAAAACTTTATTTGCAGAATCAGGTCACCTGATATGGTCCTGGGCTGTGGTTTGCCTACCCCTGATCTAAAATCTGATTTAAGAAAATGTATGTATTTCTTCCATGAGAGAGATGGTACTTCCAACAGGGTCTTGATGCTGCAGTTCCGTCCCAACTTCAGTCAGCCAGGATCACAGGCATGCATGTGTGAGCCCAGTGTATAGAAGGAGACCTGTGAACTTGGGACCTTTTCATATGGCTTCAGCATTGTGGAGCTTTGCACTACCATTGCACCATCACAGCTAGCCTAAAATAGAAATTTTAGCAAGGAGAAGAGACTGCTTGAAACTAGCTACGAGCCAAAGAAAATACAGAGTCATGTCTGATGTTTACACCAAGGATGCCCAATGAATTGGTCAATTTAGAAGAGAATGGTTATCAGAGTTACTTCCATGCAGAAAATCAATGGCCTCATTTTAAGCCCTTCAACATTTCGGACTTCGTGCAAACTTGAATTTTGTTTTCATGATTCCTTTTTTGAAGTTTTTGGAATCTTCATTGGAAAAGTTTTAATCCTCTTGGATTTTATGAGAAAGTGCTAGAAAGATGTAAATTATACATCAAGTGGAAGACATCCTAACACTCAAAACAGTAAATCATGTTCTTCAACCTCTTGCTTGTCTCAGGCCATACATGTAATTTTGTAAGTGCTCAAGGGCCTTTTAAAAATGGATGTTGCTGTTCTTGTGGTTTCCTGTTGTGGAAGCTGATTACAAAACAGGGCCGAGTCCCGTGTGGCCACATCCTTACCGAATGCCCATACGTCTGACTTGCTGCTGTATTTGAAGTAGTGGAATACCTCTGGGGCTGACCACTTGACTGGAAACTTTGTTCTTGCTGAACTGACATACTGGTCATCAAGAACATACCTGTGGGAGAAAACATCAACACAGAGCTGAAGCCACATAGGGGTGTAAATTAAGAAGGCCTCTGCTGACACAGAGCCATCCGAGTCTTAGCCAAATGCCTTGATTTTCTGGCTCTTTGGAGTCCTTCCTATGAATGAGGTTAGCTAGAGGTTGCAGCATGATCCCTGGATCCTGGCAAAATAGGTAATGTTCTTGCTTTGAGAACAAAGGTGGGTATCAGTTCCCCTGTCTTGGGAGCTTCTCTTTGATCTAAGGAACTGTAAGCTGATTTTTTTCCCCCTTGCCCTTGGGGAAGCTGCATATTTCGGTGTAGGAGAGACTCAGTGTAGGGTAGCTGGAAGGATGGCAGGTAACACACAGCTAAAGGGACCTTGCCAATATTGAGAGATTCCAGAGGAATTATGATGGTGCCCATGAGTCATGCCACAGGGATCAAAAAAGCACTCCTAATACTGAATTTTGTTAGAAGAACTTTGAGTTAAAAAAATATTATAAATATGTATCCAAATAATGTAGCTGGAACATATTGCACTTATTACTAAAGATCTTTCATGGGGTTTATTCAGAACTTTAGAAAATATATATTAGCATGTTGAAGAAACTATAAGTGACTTCAGATAATTACAGAAGAACAATCCCATTTCACAGATGCAAAAATGATGTAAAACATGTTTCACAGAGGGTCAGAAGCAGTGAGTGGGGGAGACCCAGGGTTCTAAGAACCCAATCCAGAGCATATTCTCTAGCCCCACAGGGCCTTCAACTGTGACGGCATTCAAATGCAAATACAAATCCCCCTTGCAGTAGTTGCCCTTTCAGAGTTGGCTTACCTTGTCATTCCAAAGTCAGATACTTTCACAGAGAGATCACTGTCTACCAAGCAGTTCCGAGCAGCCTTTGCAGAAAAAAAAAAAAAAAAATCACCACATAGCAACAGTGACCAAGAATCTCCTGACATCAGAGTCGGACATCTTCCTCCTCTTCAGCAAAATTCTAGGCAAAATCTAAGATTGCCTAGGACAACCCCAAATGTCCTGCAGTTGCCTTTTTTTCCCCTTGCAATTTCCAGTCTTTCAAAATGAAAATGTGCTCGCCTAAGTATTTTCACTCACGCATCAAACCTTGTCAAACAACATGAATAGTGTTACACTTTAAATGCAGAACTTTAGCTTATTAAGGAAGCAGGAGAAATTTCTAGGGGCCTCCTTCCCACCACTAGATAACATGCATTAACAGAAGCTTTGAAGACATGATTGGTGCACCAGCGACTTAGGGAATGCACTGTTTGGCACAAGAAAATCTCTGAAGATAAATCCCAGTGCATGCCAAACACAAGACGCCCCGCTCCCACCCCAACCCAAACACACAAACGTTTCATCTCCTCTGGCATTTTTCTTTTCTTTTCTTCTTTTGTATTTTCACTTACTGTATCAAATGACTGTTTTAGCACTAAGTCCTTATTGGAGTAAAGGTCAACTTGGGTTTAATGGTTCTAAGAAACACTAAATTAGCCAGTCTTTCTTTTCCATATGTTTTCCTTCATATCACAGCACATCCATGTAGATTTCTGTGATTTATTTTACTCTTCCTGTTCTTTCCATGTTTCAAATATTTTATTTTAAAATTGTGATTGGTATTGTTTCATGTGCTGAAGTGAGTCACAGTGAGGACAGTAAAAGTGAAGGTGCCCTCCTTGCCTTCCCTCCCAATGGCCCTGCCCCTCCCTGGAGGTGGGTGGGAACTGTGGACCACTTCCTTTCCTTTTTTAAACTTCCAATGACTTTGCTTACCAAGTCCCGGTGTATGAATTGGTGGCTCTCCAAGAAAGCCATGCCTTCACAAACATTGTAGCACATTTCTAAAAGCTGGGAGGGTTCAAGTCCTTTTCCATGACTCTTCAGGTAATTAAGCAAGCAGCCATTGGTTATATATTCAGTCACTATGTATATGGGATATTTCTTTGAACACACTCCATAGAATTTAACCAGTTTAGGATGGCTGAGTTTCCTGGAAATAACAGATTTTTGAAGTTCAGTATTTCGACACTCTGTTTTTCAGATGTCCTGAAAAAGAATCACTCTGAGATCTTTGTTTGTTTTAACTCTCCCCTCCCAATTCTACCTGAACAGAGAAAAGAGAGGGAAAAGTTTAGGATATTATGTTGGGAGCCCAGTAGCCTTTGGAGGAAAAAAAGAATGCTGCCTCATGTCAGACATTGGCAATTCCACCAGCAATGTAGCAGTTTTTGGATGCTCTCTTCACTTTCCTACAGAGAATCAGGGTGGCAATGGTCTATGATCTCATAAACCATGTTTAATCTCATAGCATCCTGAAAACAAAGGAACAATCATTTCCATTTTAAACTATCTAACTTTGAGGCTAGCCCTATAGCCTAATGGTTAAGAGAGCTGGACCCCACAGGCCCATTGTGGTTTTAGTCCTAGCCTAGTGGCTTTAAAAAACATGCTGAGTGGGTATGTATATGAGCCCCAGATCCTGAAAGAATGGGGAAATAGAGAAGAAGGGTTGGCAGTGTGACCACGACTTACTGGGAGGTGCTTTCTCCCCCTGTCTGTGTCTCTCTGGCAAGTGCATGCACTCTCTGGAAATTAAAAAAAAAAAATCTAACTTTCACATCTAAATATTTAATTATTAAAAATAATATAAGAGGTATAGGTAAAATGAAAATAGTTGCCATATTATGAAGGTAAAATTAGGTGTGATTTTTCTTTTTAAAAAGATATCATTTTACATTATTGTTAATTATTTTTCGATAACAAATTTAGAAAATAGTAACCACATGACATAGCACTTCTGATAGGCCATGATGGGATGGATGCTCAGTTTTCACAAGTTCATCAGCTTGTCCTTAGGTGATTTATCTATTTTTATCAATTTATGAGAAGGTTTTCAATGTTTGAATGTGCAAAGTAAATCTCAATTTAACATATGTCAATTTAAAATTTTTAAATAAATGAGTATTTATTAAATCTTTGTTTTCCCCTTCTTAGTTTAACCATATGGTCACAATTTATCATATCAACAAGGTGATAGGGCTAAAGGTTTCCCAAGGATGCAGCACTTTTAGTACTAAAAATAAGAAAGTCCCAGGCAAAATCTAATTCACCATGTTGACAAATTCTGTGTGTGTGTGTGTGTGTGTGTGTGTGTGTGTGTGAGAGAGAGAGAGAGAGAGAGAGAGAGAGAGAGAGAAAGGATCATTTAGGTTGATAACTTAAAAAACAGCCCTAAGTATTGTGGTCTTAGGATCACATGACAATACCAGGATAATACTATTCTCAAAACAGCTGCAGTTGTTGACCAAAGACTCAGAGTAAAACCCCTTGACTAACCAGAGGCATCTTGGAGAGGCTCAGTGTCGAAATGTGCTGGATGCCCTTGGGCTGGTAAAATACTGTTAGTTTTTCTTCTTCTTTCCCGAGTTTTCTTATAAAATGTACTGCTAAGAATTGAGGACTCTGCTTGGAGCTGAGACCAGTTAGGAAGGACATCTTCATTTATCAGGTAAGGAAAGAAGTAGGATGAGAAAGGAATACTTACCAGACTGTATTACAGGTACCAAGAAGGAAAAGTACTGCCTTAGTCCTAGTCATAGCCCTAGTCTGTCCCCTATTCTACTAAGCACCTCCCGAAGGGAAAGGAGGCCACAAGGTCAAGGAGATACCTGCTCAGAGCCTGTATGTCCCTTTTCACCCACGTTGGGGTACCCAAGACTCTGGAATCTCCTGTGCACACAGTCCTGAGGCCTCTTTCAGGAACTATGCAGACTCTTTCTGCAACTGCCCCTCGAGGGTGAAGCATACTACTTCTAGCCACGATCAGTGGTCAATAGGGAGACATGAGGAGCTTAGATGTGCTGTACTGAACACTGCGTCAGCACATAAGTACTGAGGCCCCTTAGAGTCAAGGGTCAGATGGGGGTGGGAGGAGAAAAGGGAGGGGTGAGGTGTGAGGGACCGCAGGTCAGAGGCCAGTTTCTCTATAGGTCTTATGTATTGTAAATTTGGACATGGTCTTTTAGGTCGCCATGAGGTACACTGTCAAACTAGGGAACTAGAATTGATTTTTATTTAACAGTTTGTTAGCTCGTTATATGACTTGTCCTAAATGTTTTTATCTAATATTTGCACTCTTGCTCCAGTCTTTGCAAATGTCAGGGTTGGGCCCAGTAGGGCTAATGCTCTCCCACGATCGGGGTTCATCACCGTTCCCCAGGAGAAACTTACATCATGGTCTGGGCCTCCTGAAAGAATTCATCTTCTGACATGGAGCCCTCCTTGATCATCTTAACAGCAACGTCATACTGCCCCTTCCACTTGCCCAGCTGGACCACTCCAAATTGGCCACTTCCCAGCTCTTTCAACAGGGTAATCTCTTCTCTTTTCAGTTCCCAGATTCCTAATAAGACAAGGCAGACACTCTCTAGGATGAGCAGGGAAGGCTTTGGGCTAGTAACTCCCCAGATGATTTCCTCTCCAGTGAGAGTTTCGCACTGACAGTATGAAGAACAATTTATAACAGTAACTTAAAAAACAGCCTTGAGTGTTGTGGTCTTAGGATCACATGACAATACCAGGATAATACTATTCTCAAAACAGCTGCAGTTGTTGACCAAAAGGCTCAGAGTAAAACCCCTTGGCTAACCAGACACATCTTGGAGAGGCTCAGTGTCAAAATGTGCTGGATGCCCTTGGGCTGGTAAAATATAGATAAATACAGATAAAAAATAGATTTTCTTCTTCTTTTCCAAATTTTCTTATAAAATGAATTAAACTGTCACCTGAGTGGGTGTCATTATCTTAAACACACAAGGTTGAGGACTAGCTCTATTAAGCAGGCATGATCTGGGACCAAGAAAGGGCAGGCAATGGAGTGCTAATGATCGATCAAGTCTGTGAGAGGAAAAAATGAGTAATCTTCCTGATAATGCTGGGAAGCTTACAGACTTAGATTTGGAGGTCAGATTTTTTTTTTTTTTTAAGAAAATGAATGATATGTTAAGGCTGAAGCCTTCCCTGGCACAGTTTTAACAGGTACCTTTCCTGCCTTCCCCCCCGCCTCCCCACTTTTGTTTTCTATCAATTAACATATATATATTCTTAAACCAAAAAAATGGTGGTAAATAGAGTTTAAGAGCCCAACGATGTGTCCATACCGCTTCCCAGGGACACAGACACAGGAACCTTGTTGGCCTTGGTTGACACAGGGTGGCGGAGCCGGGTGATCATGCCTGCAATGGAATCACAATCATATGATCACGTCATTCCATCCTACCACATCACATTACATAACACTGCTCCCATCTATTCTCTCTCCACGGTAGCTGGGAAAGCAGAGTTGAAGGTACTGTGATGCAGAGGGGGAACCCATTCTGACTACGTTCATCTTATAGCTGTATTCATTTGCTTGACTTGACTAATTAGCTCAATGTAAAGTAGAAGTTGAGTATATAACTTTGTGTGATTTTTAAAAATCCTATAGAGGAGCCAGAAGGTGGTGTAGACGTTGGGGTATTGGATCCTGCATGCCAGTTTCATGGTTCGAGTCCCAGATCGAGTGATTTGAGAATCACACAGGGTGTGTGTGAGTGCATGCCCAGAATCCTGAGAGGAGAGTGGAGGAGAAAGGATTGCAGCATGGCCATCCCCCCAGGGGGATGATTTCTCACTTTTTCTCTCTTGCTCTCTCTGGTGAGTACACGTTCCTTAGAGAAAAAACCAAACAAACAAAAAAATAAAAACAAAAAAAGCCCAAAGCATAGAAGTTAGTTTCTTGACGAAATCTTTTAAAAAATGTTCCCACTTTTGGGGACCAGCAGATGGCGTAATGGTTACATCATTGGAGTCCCACATAGTCAGCCGCTATTTGAGTCCTGGATCTGGTGGCTTAAAATTCACACCGGGCACGTGTGTATGTGCCCCAAATCCTGAGAATGGAGGAGAAGGGATTGTGAAGGGGCCATCCCTCCCAGGTGGTGATTTCTTGCTTTCTGTCTCTCCAGTAAATGCATGCACACTATAGCAAAAATCTCTCTTAAAAAAAAGT